GTGGGCAGAGGGGGCGAGGCCTCGGTGCCTTTGCAGATGACTTCCGGCGCACGGCGGCCTCCAGCATCCTCAAGTGGGTGGTCAGCCACCAGCACTGCCCCAAGAGCCATGCCCAGAGCAGGCCCAAGGAGGCCCAGGACTCGGACCCCGGCAGCCAGAAAGGTGAGTGACCCCTGACCCCTGACCCCACTCTGTTCCCACACTCCCGGGAGGCGTGTGCTCCGGGTGCCAGCGGGGCCTAAAGACCCAAGTGAGGGTTTGGTGCTGGTTCATGTGAATGAAGCAGTTTTTAAAAATACATTTTCATTGATGTCAGAGAGGAAGGGAGAGGGGGAGAGAGAGACATCAACGATGAGAGAATCATCAACAGCTGCCCCGCACGCCCCACACGGGCTCCAGCCGCAACCCGGGCCTGTGCCCCGACCGGGAATCACCCGGGACCTCCTGGTTCCGAGGTCGACGTTGGACCCTGAGCCACGCTGGCCGGGCAGCGAAGCAGGTTTAGGTTCCCAGCACCATCCGTGAGGGGTGTCGGGTGCGATCGCTAAACCTGTACGGACATGTCATTGTCACCCCAAGTCCATAGTTTGCTTTGGGGTCACCCCCGGCTGTTAGATGTGTGAGGGCACGTGCCCATCACCACACTGCGCCCCCGCCAACCACGGTCCCCACAGTGGCGCCTTTCCACGCGCCCCGGAGTCGGAGGAATTGGCGGCTCCCGCCAGCAGGGGGCGGACTCCTGCCGCGCTCGCCTCAGTCCTCACGGCACCTGCAGCTGCCACTGCGGGCTCCCGGCTCCTCAGTCTGTGCTCTTGCCTTTGGCCTGCATGGTCGTCTTCTCTGTGTGCTTTTTAAATTATTTTCTTAAGATTCTTTTTAAAAAATACATTTTTATTGATTTCAGAGAAGAAGGGAGAGGGAGAGAGAGAAACATGAGAGGGAATCATGGATCAGCCGCCTCCTGCACGCCCCCTACTGGGGATCGAGCCCACAACCCGGGCCTGTGCCCTTGACCGGAATCGAACCCGGAACCCTTCAATCCGCAGAGCGATGCTCTATCCACTGAGCCACACCGGCCAGGGCTGCCTGGTTGTTTTCTGTTAAAAGCCAGACCCGGTGTCCTGGGCAGAAGGGGGAGCAGGGACAGGCCGCAGTGAGGGCGCGGGGTGTGGGGCGAGTGCCCTGGGCCTGGG